CTCTCAGCACACGGGAGTTCTTTCTAAGCTTTCTTTGATTTAAATTGGTTTTTACCTAACCAATGAATGAGCCAAGATCTATGACCTTTCAGAAGTTGTTATGTGGCTTTTATCATTTGACCTTTCTGAGGGTGTTTACATACTAGAATGTGACGATGACACAAGTACCTATGATGCGAGACTTTCTTGAAGTTATTGATCGTTTCCATCATATTCATTTTAGATACCGAGGTTTGCAAAGTTTTCGTACATCAACGTGGGATCCTAAAGAAAACTTACCGAGTGATTACGCAAGAATATTTCAGTTTCAAAATTTTGCCAGGACTAAATCAAGAGTTTTGAAAGAAGACAGGGATGCTGGAGTGATGGTAAGCATTGTTGTGTTATATTTTAATGTTATTCCAATGTAGGTTTACATATTGTCATAATGTAATGGAAATTCATATCAATTTCATACTGGAGTTACCTACAAATACTGTATATATATATATATCTTGACTGGTAATATTGAATATTTATTTCAAAGCTAATTTATTAACATTTAATATTAAATGTGTATGAAAATATACTATTTCAAGGAAACAAAAACTACTTAATATAGGGGGGGGTATACATCGAAAATTTGAGAGGAAGAGAAATGTTCATTGGTGTTACTAATTTGTTAACTGACTGTTGTATCTTGAGTAAAGTGCAGTTATATGTACACATGTACACTCACAGATCGCAAAACAGCACCCCTTACCTGCTATGTTCAATGTTCATGTGATTGCTACGCAACAGATGTGCACTACAATAATTTTATCCTGACAATAGTCTGATGGCCACCGAAATTTCGTTGAAAATGAGACAACTAGACTTGTTTTTGCTCCTCAAATAGCATTCCATTATTTCCCGTCACTGCATCCTCTATTCCAAATACCATAGAACTCTATTTGCATTTGAGGTCTCGTAGATGTGTACATACTGAATATGTATGGGTGTGTTCTCAGTTGAATGTTTATTCCAAATAACCAATATATAATAGCCATGTTCGATGTGTTACACGTTTATTCAATTCCTGCATGATTTAATATTTATACAAAATGGCGATCATAATTGTATTTTAATGTGCATCTTGCGTGCATATAGTGAATTCAGCTGGGCAAAAACGTGTAATTAGCATAAATTATAATAATAATAATAATCTTGTTTACAGCCTGGTTGGTATGTAACTTTACACATCATCAATGTACCCAAGACATTTATAGGTAAGTGTTCAATCCTACTAAATCATCCTATAGTACCGCATATACCCTGCAAATTGCTAGTGGTCTCTTTAGAAATGTAAAACAGAATGTGTCTTGCAGACAACATACACCAAGAAGCATGTATGTGAGATGTATTCCTGTTTTACATCCCAAACTAAAATTGTTATCTCACACCAATCACAATGTTGTGTCCTATTTTAAGAGTGTTATTTGATAATTTGATGATTCTCGTAGTGTGGACACACTTGGTTTGAAGTTCGTGGAGTGATGAGGGGAACTGTGATGATGTCTACTCTCAATAGACCAGTTTCTGTTCTGATTCCGAGTTATATGTGAAATCAAATGTAAAACAGGAATAACAAAGGTTATAGCATCATTGACATTTTTATTACAACTGTATATATTGAGTATACAAAATGTTTTACCTGGAGATTTACTGTCAAATGATAATGAGTAAGGGACGACGTCAAAAGATCGATGTCGGATAAAAAACTTATTTGCTTTAGTTGGGGGGTTTTGACCTCAAAAAGTTTCCATCCTACAAAAACGATTTTATTTTTTAATGAAGTCAAAAAAATCTTGGAGTATTTGTAGTTCGTTTTTTTTATCCAATCATGGACAGAAATAACAGAAAATGAAAAAAAACGCATCCAAGACGAGAAAATGGTTTGGTCCGAGTTTAAATGTCCGATGTGCGTCAAATGAGGTGCATTTGTAAAGTCTTTTTACACTCACCCGACAACCAACTGCTATGCCATACTACTGTCCGATTATCAATTTGTATTTAATGGTGAATGTAGTCTGACGCCATGACCAATATTTATCAATTGAGTTTCAGTGGGGGGTTTTTGAAAAAAACTAAAAGAATTAAGTTTTTTATCCGACATCGATCTTTTGACGTCGTCCCTTACTCATTATCATTTGACAGTAAATCTCCAGGTAAAACATTTTGTATACTCAATATATACAGTTATAGAATATTTTTGTAATAAAAATGTCAATAAGTAAATTTCCGAAGTTATGATTATTTTTTGTATTTGAAAAATCTTGAATATAATATCTAATTAGTCCTCGTTCGGACAAAGTCTGAAAACTGGGACTTATAATTCGGTCTCCGTCCGTCCGTCCAGAATCATATTTCAGAATCCTTTGGACCGATTCCGTTTATTCTTTGCATGTGCCTAGTACTTTATGTGGGACATATGCACATGCAGTGGTTTAGCGATTCGATTCAAAATGGCCGACTGGCAGCCATCTTGTTTTTTGAAAGTGTTGTATTTTGGACAAGCTTTGTCAGTTTTCATTCAAACCTGGTACATAGATAATACATGTTAGGTTACATGTTAATGACAATTTATTTCGCAATTTGATCAAAGATGGCCGAATGGCAGGCATCTTGTTTTTTTTTTAAATGTGGTATCTTTGACATGCTTTGTCAGTTTTCATTCAAATTTGGCATATACATGTTAGGATACATGTCCATGACAATTTGTTTCAAATCGGATCAAGGATGGCTGATTGACAGCCATCTGACTTTTTGGTCTTATTACTATATTTCAAGATTTATGTACCATTTTCATTCGTATTTGGCACATACATAATGGACATACATGGGACTTTGTTTCATAATCAGATCAAAAATCAAATGTTTTTTTTTTTTGGCCATATTACTACATCTCTGTCACCCATGTACCATTTTCATTAATATTTAGCATGTCATAAATGGATACATGTACATGTCAATTCAATTTACAATTTGATCAAATATGGCCGACTCGCGGCCATCTTGTTTGTTTAAAATGTGATAACTTGGACATGCTTTCACTTGTGATCTATGTTTTTCTTTGCTATGTCTTAAACCAGAGTGGTCGTCACACAAGACGTGTTTGAATTTGATGTAAATAAACAATCTGTTGTATACGCCACTTGGGACTCAAGTTTCAAGGACATGCTCACGACAATCCCTCCACTTTATTTTGACGAGCACAAAGAGAACTTTCAAAAATTTAACAGGGACTGTGTCATTTTCAATGACTTGTTTTACTGTAAAACAGTGAGAGAGTGCGAATTCAAATACATGTATATGATAATTAAGGGTATTGCAATGCATTATTGAATGTATATGTTCTATAAAATAAAAAACATAGTAGTTTGAATCTAAGGCATACATCAACCAATTTGACTGAAACTGTTTTCACAATTGGAAGCTATATTTATGACTATTGTAAGTGTTTTGTGAAGTTTTTAGGTGAACAGTGCATCACTCTGGTGTTCATGTGCCAAGTGTAATCTGATACTAAATAACCAATTAAACATCAATCAGAAATGGTTCAATAACTTTTGCAGTGAGTGGCATTAACTGGCTGAATGGTAGTGTTGTACCACATATTTAAATTATCCTTGACCTGAGGTATGCATGGGCCTACAAATAAACCCGTTATGAGTATCAAACATTATTTTATTATATTTGCCTTTAGTGATGCATTTCATTCAGCATTGCATCACTTGCAACTACTGTGCTCTAATAGAAGCTGCATCCCCTCTGTTGCATTGTACCATTTTAATAAAAGCCGCAGCTTTTAATACAGATTTAACAGTACTATTGTTTAGCACTCTCTGGGAAAACTGTTGTGTTTGATCACTTGCCACTCACAAGTAGGTATATTTATAGGATAACACATGCCTCATGGTCCTTATAATTGGGAAAGTCGGCAGCTTCTATTTTCTTCATTGACGATTCTTTCTCTTATCTTAAACAGACAATTATGAAAGCAACAATCCATTGGTTATATTTGGCCTATTACAGCATGAACAAAAGGTAATGTTTCACCCTTCTTATTTCTATTCAAGATGTATATATAAAACATAATATTTTTGCAATAAATGCAAAGTTAGTGGTTTTCTTCATGTTTTTCAATTTTTATATATCAGTAGATACTAATCAGTCTCCCAGGATGCATATTGTTTTTTTTGTTTTTTTACCAATTTCAAGTTTTCAAGAAAACAATTGAGAATGTTGATATCAATATACAAATTAACTTCAGTGTTTGTGTATTTTTCTGGGCAGAGCACTGTAATGTTCACATAGAAAGATGATTAATTTTACTGAAATTAACTTCAGTGTTTGGGTATTTTTCTGGGCAGAGCACTGTAATGTTCACATAGAAAGATGGTTAATTTTACTGAAATTAACTTCAGTGTTTGGGTATTTTTCTGGGCAGAGCACTGTAATGTTCACATAGAAAGATGATTAATTTTACTGAAATTAACTCCAGTGTTTGGGTATTTTTCTGGGCAGAGCACTGTAATGTTCACATAGAAAGATGATTAATTTTACTGAAATTAACTTCAGTGTTTGGGTATTTTTCTGGGCAGAGCACTGTAATGTTCACATAGAAAGAGATTAATTTTACTAAAATTAACTTCAGTGTTTGGGTATTTTTCTGGGCAGAACACTGTAATGTTCACATAGAAAGATGATTAATTTTACTGAAATTAACTTCAGTGTTTGGGTATTTTTCTGGGCAGAGCACTGTAATGTTCACATAGAAAGATGATTAATTTTACTGAAATTATACATGTAATATTAATGTTCATCAATTTTTAGATGTCTGTGGTACATTTTGCAATTAAGAAACATCCATCTTTCACAAAGCCAATCAAATCAAAGGTAAGAAACGTGTATCCAATACTGGACCAATCATTTCATGTGTTAGAAATGCACTTCAAATTCAAGTTCTAAGTAAGATAACACATGATCTCAAAAGACCATCGAGCACACTAATTACTACCTCATACTTTTAGCATTATGTCTAGATTACCTTATAGGAATAACATTTTATACCTGTGTTTACATTATTCAGGAATTGTTACTCTTCCAAGTTGGTTGTAGAAGATTTAGAGCAGCTCCTGTATTTTCTCAGCATACAGTGGGAGACAAACAAAAGGTACCGAACACCGTGATCCAAAAACTTATCTGAACCAAACCCTGTCTAACCCTGGTGTCTGTCAAAACCAAATGCCACCGACTGCTTGTATAAAAAAAATAACTCCAAAAACATTTTTTATAACCAAACATTTCTCAGCCCTTCTCTGATTGACTTAGACAGACATGTGACAATTTTTTTCTGATCATGTCATGAATAAATTCTTCTCTTCCCTGGTTGTCCTATCCCAATCTACCTAAGATGTATGTGAGAGGAGATGAGCATATGAATACATATTTCATTTGAGTTTGAGTCATATTGGTTACATCAATAATATAATTTTGTGAATATTCTTTTCATTTCAGTATGAGAGGTTTTTGGTCAGTGATGCAGTGACAGTTGCTACTATATATGCGCCTATCACTTTCCCACCTACTTCTATAATGGTATTTAAAGAAGGCATTGATGGTGAGTTAGTAAGACAGACATACATACATAAGTTGGTATAATTTCACGTCCATACCTGTATTTCAGACATACCTTGACTGTTCACATTCAAACTATACGTGTACATCACACATATCATACATAATGACACACATTCATTTCATGATCCAATTCAAGGTAGTCTAATGGCAGCCATTTTAGTACTAAAAATTCATCAAAATCACGCATTTTTGCTATTCTGGAACTAGATTTTGGTTGGACATATTTCATTTGTATGTTCATAAAAATAATTGGTCCTTAATAATGCATATCTTTTTTTTTCCACATCGAATTCAAAATGGCTGACTGGCATCCATTTTGTTTAAAAAATGCTGTTCCAGGGCCATTTGACTGACATGCATTTGTGTCATGATCCTATTCAAGATGGCTGAATGGCTGCCATTTTTGTTCATCAACATTTCTGCAGTTCTTGAAGTTGCTTGTGTATCAACATATTTCATTCACCTTTAGTATACACATTGAACATGTGGAGACCTTGATACATATCTTAGATCAGATTGTTCCTAGGTCGGATTTAAAATGGCTGACTGGTGGTCATTTTGTTTCAACGAATGCTGTTCCAAAGCCATATGTCTGACATGCCTTGATTGATCTCATTCAACACAAATACAAAAAAATGTACAAATATACTGGCTTCAGTTTGAATAATATCTGTCATATGAGTGTCAATCCTAATAGATACAACCATGTACTGTAGTGGATTTCACTTATCAGCGAAAATAGCAAAATTAAAATCCACTGAACTACATTTGCACAGTAGAAATATGAATGTCTTGTATCAGGCATCAGTAAGAAAAATAACAGCACTTTACTAACCTACCATTATACATGTACATGTACTATCCGCACCAACTTCAATTGACACATTTAAATAGGTCATTGATTTTGTTTTACAAGTGCATGAAATTGTTCCTTGTGTGATTTGAACGATTATTGCTGACTGGTGGCTATTTTCTCTGTTATGATTTCCATGCCAGTTTCTCTTGAAAGAAATCACCTTTTCTGTTTAATCTTAGTACATTGATAGAATATCAAGAGATGCGTCTTTCCCAACATATTTGTTGTGATTAATTCAATATTGACAGCCAATTGTATGTAAAAACATTAAATTATCATTTTTTATGTGTCCGAGGCGGCTTCTCAAAGATTTCCTGGCCTACTTGGATCAAAGCTGGTATAATATTCATCCATATTAGGTTACAGGTGCACATATTTTTTTGACCACATATGGTTGGAAGGTGACCATTTCCTCAACTTGCTTTACTTTCACTTGTGTTCTATGTTTTTCTTTTATTTTTTGCTGTCTTATGTTGAGCACATAAAGACAATGTTGACAAAATTGACATTGACTGTGTAATTTTCAATGACTGTTGTGTAGAAGACTGACATATAGTAACAGAAAATCATTGCACATGTGAAGATTATTAAGATTAATTGTCTTCTTCTTTTTTTGACTCCCTAGGCTGTCATAATTTAGTAGCTACTGGAACATTGCTTGGTGTAAACCCAGACAGGATAGTGTGCAAAAGAGCAGTACTAAGTGGGCACCCGCTTAAAATTAATAAGAAGAAGTCAGTTGTTCGATACATGTTCTTCAATCGAGGTAAGTCTGATGAGTAGATGACAACTTATGGTCATTTGCCAAGTAATGTCCAGATAGGTTGCAGATGCCGTCTCTCTCTACAAATATATTTATAAGATGAAATTGCTTGTAAATATTGAGTTAAATCAGTGGTGGAGTATTTTTCTCTATTAGCAACACATTCGCTTCTGTTGACAGAAGTTTGTCTATTGTCAAAATAAATCATATTTTAATGATCGTGCATATAATACATGCAGTGTTTGGTGTATGTACGCTCCTATTGGAGATGCACTTTTAATAGATATAATATAATAGTTGGTCCTCAGTTATCAGCATTGTTGGGTAGTATATTTAGTATATATGAGCATATATTTATGTTATGACTATATACTACACCAGCTTAAGAAATAGACAGCATAGCTGTCATAGGTCAATCAATAATCAGCAGGTATTCTAATTATTGTATGGGCAATTCAGACATTTTTTTAGAATTACTTGTTGTTTCACTGTACAACAGAGTTCTATATGAGGTAAAAGATTGTACTACAGAGTGATCCAATAATGGTAACTATACTTAAATATGCTTATCTGATTTCTTTTATATGTACTTTGCTTTTGTACAGAGGACATACAGTGGTTTAAACCAATTGAGTTACGTACCAAGTGGGGAAGAAGAGGGCATATCAAAGAGCCGATTGGTAAGTTGAGTTAGTCAGTATGAAAGAATCCATTGGTGGCATATCACATCACTGGATGATTGTATGCCTAGTGCAGTGAGTTTATATATAAAATATAATGTATCCTCTTGAATGGGGTTGATAAAAAAGTGATATTTAGCTTTCTTATGAGTTGTGGATTTCTGCTGATAGATAACTGATGCTTGCCTATGATATATGTAGCATATAGCTTAATGTAAGTTTTTTTTTCTTCTCAGGCACCCATGGTCATATGAAATGTGTGTTTGATAGACAGCTCAAATCGCAAGATACAGTACTTATGAATATTTACAAACGTGTATATCCAAAATGGACATTTGACCCTTATGTTCCTCTTGACCTCAAGATCAAAATACCGACTTCAGATGAAAACGAGGATGAAGAAATGGAATAATGGTTTCCTAGCAACAGCATTCAAAAACACAGTTTAATATAATCTACTGAATTATCAGTTTTAATGTATCTATTCATTTATTATTTTTTTTTAGTGAAATGGACTTTACGTAAGGTATTATTGGATGTAAACAAAACAAAAAATAAATTTGTTTTACTAACATGGTTGCAGTTAATCTTTGAACATGAATAATAACAGTTGAATGTTGTGGTGTTGAGTTTTACCCCTACACTCGACTTCAATGGTCTTTTGACTGACTGCTCATTGCTCTGATGGTCCGATCAGTTCAGTAATCTGACGTCTTATCTACTAGTTAATTGGTTGCACATATAATCTGTCCCATTCATCAATCTGATGTCCTATTTTCCAGTTCCTTGGTTTGATATCCTTTTCGTTCATTAATTTGACATCCCATCTTCCAATTCATTGGGACAACGAAATTTTAAATATTCTGATGTAAAAAAAATTTCAACTCCTAAGCACATAATTATTTGTGATGCTTAACTAAGTCAATATTTCCACTGGGTGCGTGCTCAGTAGATCATCGAATTCATATTTAGCACTAGTTCAATTATAAGCTATCTAGAAATAGTTGTAAATGAGACACTGTGTTGTATATGGTATCATATTAAAACGAAATTTCTTTTACCTCGGTAGAATCTTTATTAACTGATACATGGCCATCGGCCGAAAACATTAAATACAAAATATTTAAATTATTTACAATATTTCAGCGGCTTCCCTCCTAAATTAAATACAAACTCAGCTAAACGCTGTAGAAGTACATCGTTTTGAGTAATTCGATAAATTTATTTACAGTTAGTGGGGTGCAGTAATAGTGTAGGATATAGAAACATCTAATGTGGTTATAACAATTACAAACAAATAAAGAATGGAACTCATTTTCAATAGAATTCATATTGCAAAGCTCGCACGTACGTTGATCTCTTTCTAGATGACCTCTGTCTTTTTCAATAAGTGAACAATGTGATGAACATCGTAGCCGAGATAGTGATTGCATATGGGTTCGAATAAGAACAGAAAACAAATTCGCAATACCCGTTTATTTTTCAGTTATCATTTTAATCCTCGCTCAGGTGAAATGTATTCATTTCTGTGTGTGCGTTGTGTTCTATAATGTACGCATTCTCTGAAATCTGAAGTTTAAGAACAGTTTTTCGGATGCCACATATATGGCATGCCTTGACTGATTGCAATCAAACCCGACACTTAATATACGTCTTGCCACACATTGCCATAAATTCGTTTTAAGTCGTTTCGGATACTTGCATCCCCCGTTTATTATGTATTATGATAAATGTACACATAGATTCCTACTATATACTTGCATTGAACATGGGGGGGGGGACAGTATCTCTGTATCATAACCTCTTTTTTTATTGTATCTATGCCAGACCATACATTGTGAAAAAATCAGTACCTCTTATATCAGTTAGTACAGCATCTTACTATGTGTCTCTACTTTGAATATAATTATATACATGTAATTAAGTAACACGGCAGTTCGTGACATGTGTTTTTAAATTACTGTATTTTACATAGTTTAATTGTAATTCTTAAGATACATTGTCATTTCACTGTGTTCCATTGGATCTTTTGTCACAATTGACTCTTGGGTGACTCCATAATAACTCACAAGGCATTATTTTAGATGAACAGAATGGTTTCAGAAGAGCTTGTATTGATCATATTTCACCCTTACTTCTATTAGTAGAATTAGAAAAACTTGTGTTTTGCCCACATTACGTTCTCGGCATTTTGATGATATGAAAAAATATTTGACTGGTTTAAATTTAAACTTATTGGTCCAAAAATATATATGAAGACACCAACTTTATTAAGATATCTTTACTAGGACAAAAAATATTGCCAAATTTATATTTAGATGGCCATCTTGGCATCTATCAAAACTATCGCGGTAGAGATTTGATTGGTTGAGAAATCCAGTTTAACGCAACTTACTCAGTATTATATTGTCCCGGAGACGTACCCGTGTATACTGAATGATTTACTGTCTGGATTTAGACGGGACAGTAGTTAGTTGGCATAACACACGGCCAATGAAATAATAATTATCACGCGTTTCGAGTAATGTTAATATCGAACGTCAACAATTGTGATATAGCGCGGTATTATTTGTTAGTTTGCCGCGAATAACCTCTAATGATTATATTCAATACAGTACCAATTCACTGGGTCACGCTTTTATTTTCCCACAGATATGTTTAGTTTTTTGCAACTTATTATTTGTTTTATGTGACGGTACTTGTCGTCGTAAATGGGTTTATGCAGAACTGTCCAACTATATGAAGTTCACACATATATCATACGGTTCTATAGCTCTTTGGTATTTATGATAAATTGATATCTCCAATAGCATTGAGTCGCATACCACTAAGTATATTGGCAATGCGTTATGTTATTTATTTCCTTTCCTTTCATTGTTCAAAAGCGACCTCGACATCTTCCCGTTTATTTGAAATCGTGAAGCTCACATCATTATCTCCAAACAATTAAACATCACAGTTTGTCGATGCGTTTAACACAGATATGCGAGATATGACAGTGATTCAAAAACGATATATACAGCCGGTCTTTTAAATTTGTGAAAGCTGCCACGACCGATAAATATAATAATAAGCAGAAAATGGCAGAAGTTTATCATAGTCCTTGGTAGTTATTCAATAAACCAGACGTTTCAAAGTTTCTTTTCTCAATGATATTTAAAACAGACATATTTTCTGTATACCCCTATTCGACTTGTAATGAATATCAGTTGCCAGTAGACATTCTATGTCATTTATTGTTTTGTATAACAATTTTTAATTGAATTACCTACTGTATTAAGTGTAATTGTTTGCCTTTATAATATAATGTCCCAGTAGGCACGTATATTTCCATTCATTGCAAATATACAGGGGATAGCATCGATTGTACAGTGTTATTGTGCCCGTCTTTGCTTTCTTGTGTTAGTTTTAGAAAAAGGCATCGATCTGGACTGTATGTGGCGTTATTGAGTTGTGACGTTGTTGTACTGTCCTAAGCCTCCTTGCGATTGTTTGATACGTGTTTGTAAAGTTCGTGCAACTGTTTGACTGCTCATACCCATAAACCCGCTTTGTTGTAGTAACCAGTTATTGTTATGCAAATGAGGAGGTACGCTCGATCGCTGTTCTGTTCTTTGTGTCAGCGTTTGTGTAATAACGGTAGGTGGCCCTGAATTCTATATACAGTGAGGACGTCGCTGTACAGCAGACAACAGCTATACATCGGGGCTATAGACGAGTGACTGATTGGTGAATACTGACAATGCCAGCAGGGTACGATCTTCTCCAACACAGCAACCCTCGAAAATCGGAGTAAGTGCTTAATGGCGTCGAGGAGCTCAGTTTGTTTGTGATCATATTGGCTCTTCTCAAGCACAAATATCGGTACATGAAATAGGACAGAATAGAGAAACATTACATAGCTCTTTTTTTATTTTTACAGTATGACGTGGTGGTCGAGACACGATCCCGTGAAACTTCCACAGGGAAGAACGGACCACTGGAGTAAAATGAAAATTAAGGTAAGTGTCATGGTTACGGATAGCTATCGGAAATGTAAATGGGGGACGATGCGTTTCTAACGGTAAATACATGCGTATGTATGCGGCAAGAAAGTACCGCTGTGTAACGGTCCGAACAATGGTTGTCACGCAACGTGTTGAAGCGAACATGAATCTGATAATTATACAGATGGCGGAAGCGATGTGCCCTTGCCGTCCGTGTACCCAGTATTGTAAATCACCACCCGAACGTTCACCCCTATTCAGTTTCCTATGACGTGTCTGCGTTCAACAAAATCATCTCAAATAACTAAACTTAGAAACCTAATATATCATGACCTGAATTTTATTACAACTTCAGAAGAAAAAAAAGAAAAGAAACGAATGTACCGTTCCACAGGTGTCCCTGATAGGAAATAAACGTGCTCAATTTCAGTTGCCAAATTAAAAAAAGGAGGGGGGTCAACTTTTAGCGTTATGAACTGGACTACGAAGCATTAAGCAACAGTGAACACATTGTATGTGTGCGGTATCGATTTCCTGTTTTACATTAAGTTTGTTGCTAGTGGTAGTTTAAGAGCGTTGTTGTTCAAGAGGTAGCGACAATGTGGTCCACTTTAACGCGTTTTGCTAAAGTACCATTAAGCTCAGTTCGAACGCGCTAACTTATCAGATACGCCCACTGACGAGATTTACGTTATCTATGCCAATAAACGGATTGACATTTTGATTATAAGTGAGCTGATATATATAAATACAGGTCACAGTTTAAAAGAATTTTTTTGGCGTAAAAAATACATCATGGCGTTTAGAAAGAATCGTTATTAAGTTATTGGTAATATTATGAACACAATGCGCATCGTTAACCTGCATTGACATTTTGCAGGTTTATGTGTGGACAGAATTAATAATGCAACAGACATCATTAATTTATGTGCCGACATGTTCTATTTTCATTGCAGTGCACAACATTCGATATATCGGCAAAAAATACGCCGTCGCTGAGAGACCCCTACCAAAGTAAGTTTGCTGTTCAATCATTTATTTATTTATCACTTCGCGTCCAGTTTAGAACCGATCTTTGTATGCCCAGTCCTTTTTATTTTGTAAAGCCCGTCGATTCGCTTATTTTGCATTCAGAGCGCTATTTCTCACAGGGTTCATGGTGCAAGTATAATAGCATGGGTTTTTGCTGCTGTTTGTTCTCGGGGTAAATGGGGCCAAGTTGTGAGGTTTTTTTTTGTACTTTTCAGACCGTTTGTTTATGAAAATAGTTAGTTGAATAAAGTTTACACCCCCAATAAGGTGTTCAAATAATATACGACTTAAACTAACACCCAGCCCAATTAATATGCCCTGGGGGTCTACCTTATAACGTCACTTGATTCAAAGTTACATACATTTTCTTTTATCTATCGCTTTTTTTGGAATATTTGTTTCTCAAAAGCATCTTACCGTGTGCTAACATTATTACGAAAATTGTATTTATCTGGCGCTTTGGCTCGTATCGATTGCTTAGTGACGTACATTTGAGCAAACATGTTAAATCGTGATGACGGCACACTGGAAATCATTGTTTTCGAATTTATAAGTTAACCGCACATGACCCTTGTCACCGAGTAGCTAACAAACAGTCGCCTGTTGTCCGCGATAACCGAGGAGACAGCCTAGTGAGGCGTAATTATTTGTATCGTACTCATGGGAATGCTATTTATTGTCTTTCTGGTGTCATTAACGAATCAACCATTCCAGTGTATGTGTTTTATTGAATAATTTCTAAATGTAAATCAGAAATAAAATGTAATAACTGTGGCACAGCACTGATTTCAAATAGATTCAATGTTTCGTGTTTATAGAACAACACATTTGGATATTCAAGATTACGAGTGATTCACTCTAGCCATATTTTCTCACAGACATGATAACAACGACTCGTCCCGTTACGTTTATGACTACTGACACAAGGACACCCCTATCGCTACCTTTCTCACCTTGAAATCACGTTTCTTTCTTGAAAACACCCCTAAATATAATTAACGACCCTGTATGCGGATCTGATGGATGCCCATCAATTCAGACCAATTGTTCGGAACTTTTGGTTCCCAACTATTATGACGATCGACCCAGTTAATCGAATAGACTGTACTCATCGCAAAAGATAGCCCGATGTTGTGGCGTGTATCGTATAGCGATGCCCGAGGTCTTTTCCGATTCAATTACTGTACACAAAAGTACGCGCTTCATTCATGGTTCTATAAGCCGATTATCGTTTTAATAATGGTCCAGAAAATGTGGCTAAATAAGCATGAGGGGAACCCAAACATTTCCAGAGACCTTTTTAATTGTATCCATGGTGATACCATCTCAATAATATATATTGTAATATTACTATAATTATATGTCGTGGTATTGTTGTTATATGTTCTACTTGTCTTCCAAATTGTGTTGAGCGAAACAACCGTGGCCATTTTGCTTATATTTAGACCACCGATGCGTGTAATTTTATTTATGAACTAGTATTCCCTCAAATGAATTAAAATATCAAATGTCTACCTATCTAAACGCACCGATTCAAAACACTTCAAACATTCTGAAAAAAAACTTGTCAATTTGTCATTTCTTAATGACTAGTTTAGTGACAACAAACATGTGAAGACGTAAATCTCCAACTACACCGAAAAAAAATTATTAATTGAGAGTTAAATTTCAAATTACATCCCGAGTAAGTTGCCTTGGTATCCGCGAAATGAAATCTCATATTTTTTCCCAGTATGTACCTGTTTCAATTTTACGAGTAAAGAAGTTTAGACACCCTTGCAAAATTAATTATATAGGAGTATATGTGAAGCCACGCCAAATTAATGATGTCATGCTCGAGCACGGATCTGCGTTGAATTATTAACAGTTACGGACCAACTGATTAGAAGCCATGACACCTGAACCCGGATCCTGAAAGGATATAATTTATACATTCAATCGACCGAGACTATTTAAGTTGTAAACTAGAGGGTCAGGTAGGGTTTGGAGACGTGTCCAAAAAAGCAATGTAAAAACTGGCTTTTTCGTCTTTCATTTCATGTATTACGTGGTTTGTTGTCTTAATACATAATTGATTTTTTTCCCCAACTATAGCTCTGGTACAGAAAAGATGTAACGATCCAAATAAGTATACAGGGCTGATGAGACCGAAGTCAGCGCCTCCAATGTTGTTGCGCTATAACCAAGATGGCACCGTAAAACCCTTAACTGACAGACCATTTCATCAACACATAGTGACGGGACTTAACGGACAATTACCGGGCTCGTATGCTATGAAAGTAAAACCAAGGCCAAGCACTGGCATACGAAGGACTAGTTTTAACACAAGAGCCAAAGAAGGTTTTAAATACTGGCCGATGGAGAGACCCAAACCAACAAAATGTGAGTTTTCCCTCGCTTGTTTGCCAACAAATTACACCCCCTGTTGATCGCTACATGCCACTATATTGGTGCTCTTACCTGAATGTCTTTTTCAACCATTGTTCGCTACTTTGTCACCATAATCGAATAATTACATTTCAGAAAGCATATTCGCATGAAAGACTTAGATCATAGCTAGGAATCAAGATTGCTTATTTAATTTTGTTGCTTATGTAATTCGGCCGAACGTTGTTTAATACGAAATAAAAGCACATGTTTTAATACAATTTTAAAATAAAAATTAAAAATATCTTGCATCTGCATCGATTTTGGAAAACTCGAAACAATTTCACCAGGGAGATTTTTTTTGGCTATAATCCAATTAAATACCGCATATCCACAGAGGCAACAGCAACGCTCTACAATGCTAGCCATCGCAAGTATTTCCTTATTTGTTATTGTTTTTCTTTTAAAGTGACCACAAAATGGAATGTGCCAGGGAGCATGGAATGTATAACGTTCGTCTTCTTGTATGCTAGCCCATGGCACTATAAATTACCCAGACCTCCCTGTGATTCGCACCTTTGATTATTTTTACTACTCAGAACCCTATTAAATTCCTGAGGAGTCTTCAGTATTTGTTATTCAAAAGTACCATTTGCAATGTGTTATCAGCATGTCAAATCAACCTCAAAATCTGGTGAGAGACAATTTATACAGCTGCTAAAAATGCCGCGAATCTAGGTTTTGTGCAACATAATCACGTGACCAACATATATACATCCTCGTCACCTGGCAACTAAAGTGCATATTTCGTTGTTTAATCTATGCGAAGACAACCAGGTGCTGAAAATTCCTTAGTTATGTAAGAAGTAATATGGTATGGTTAATTTGATTTGCTGTTGACAAAAAATCACTAGTACTCTAGCAAAACAATTGAAATTTGGGGAGAAGAAAAACATTTTGAGTAAAATGTATGTTTTTCACAGTGTATTGCGAACCAGTGTCTGTTACAAACCACGTGGGATTATGGATAATCACAAGCACTTTGTAGCATATCTCCGACGATTTTAAATAATGTACATTCAAAGACATGCCAGTAACACTTGTTTTTAATTTATTAACGCAATTTTATTTTCTGTTTTCCAGTTGGTCGGTACGGCATAGGGTCAAGATGCACGGTCCTTGGTCTAGGCAATGCTAGTCGGACGTAATAAAGAATATATCGTGTGACATCCAAACATTTACAACTATTTTTTCACAAGCTGATGAAGATACGAACTCAAATCCGGCCACAGAATACATGACATGTTACGGAAATATCCGTATAGAGCACTGGAATAAAAAACAGGAACTCCATAGAGGGCGCTCTCGCAGTTCTTAGAATGTAAATTCTTTTGCTTCGATTGAATTAGATTGTATGCCGTTTATTTACAGTGCTTATTGGACAAAACTCAGTTCCTGTTTTGCAATTTTGTATTAACAACTTGAATATCTTCCTACTTTAGTAATTATACTAATTTATGCTAGCCATAGAAGGAATTCTACTGCGCCGTATGTTCCTAGTTCTATAGCCGTCAGGAAACATCTCCCATATACAACAGTATTGAACTACATGTACGCAGTCTATTTGCGTGAGACACATGTGCAGACATAGATTTGTGAACTTACTAAATGTATATATGCTAGTTATTTGTAGTTTATTCATTATAACATATCGGATGGACTTCGTTTTTCTCCGATTTCTTGTAGTAAAATGCAACAATAAAAAAGTAGTTATCGTAGTACATTCAATCACACGAGTTTACCTCAGGCAACATGTGCAGTCGTTTCCGATGTAGTCTATAGAGGGCGCTGAGCTGGACGAATCGTTAACATTCACCGGTATGTGCTTTCCTAAGTAATCAGTAATGCGATCATTATTCGATTGGGAAATTGTCTATCAGTTATCTCGAAAAAAAATAAAACAGAACAAGAAATGTTTTGTGTTTTTTTGGCGTCTGCTCAAAATAATGTTTTAACATTAGGCATTCAAAAAGAGATGTGAACTATAGTACTAGAGTGACTGTGTAAGTTATGCAAAGAAATAACTTGAATATAATTAGCGTTCAAGGATGTATAAGAACTTTAGAGAAATTGAGAAAATTTGGAGGTTTACAAATAAAATTGTTCGAATGTTCAAATAATCTCACATGATCGCCTTATGAAAATGTGCGTTTAACACCGCGTAAACGCCGCTCGCGCTGGCATTGTTGAAAATCCAGTTATAAATGAGCCAATCAAGAGTCTGACACCACCACTATTCATGTGCATACGTCATTCAAAATCTACTACACCAAGGTAGTTCACATAAATTTCAAGTTGTAAACCACTTAAACAAATCAACAAACAACATAAGATTTGTGTGAAAATCTGTGAGTGATATACTTTTTATTCGAATACTACCACTATTCATATGCATGCGGCACTTTGATTTTTCGTACAAATATTCTTCATTATTATTAAAGTTAGTCAAATTCAACTCAAAGCCAAATCAACTACACCGAGATGTTTCACATTAGGTTTGTTAACAACAAACAACAGAAGTATGATTCGTGTGAAGAAAACTGAGATATATAGTGAAAAGTCATATAGTGAAGAGTAGTTGAATAGCTTATAAGCGTGGTCGTGACACAGGTCTACTACAATAGTATTACTATGATATACGGAGATATATTCCGAATAAGAAAAAGAGATATTTGCAGTGAACTGGTATAAAGTCATTGTTAAACATCGTGAGATAGGTTTGTGTTACTCTGCTCATGTTAATCTTGTTATTAAGATAGCTAGAAATACATTTATTATACCTCGAGTGAAGCAATTTATTTTCATGCAAATAACCTGTGAATAGATTTATTATGAATTATCTTGGAAAATGTAAGTAGTCCGTGTTGTAAGATTCACCACAACGTTGATATAACGAAATTCTTGTACGTACAGATCGTATTCGATTGGAGAATGATAGACAGCCGGCTGTACGTTATAACCCATTAACACATCCTACAATGGGTACCAGTTTAATCAGATCGGTTTTACTCTGAGTGTTATTCGCATAAAATAAACTTCGAGAAGATCGGGCACATTTTGTCACGTGTCCCATATTGGGCATTGTTATAATAGTCCAGGGGAAGTGTAATCCTTATGCTAGACTACAGAAGACATCAATTTCATTGTGTAAAATGCACTTTATTTGAATAAAATACAGAATAAATATTACAATCAAAACCTGATTTGTAGACTTAATATAACACCCTGATCAGCAATAATTCTCGTTAATATGGCTGAGAACTGTAATGTATATCAACATATGACGTATTGACAGCATCTCCGTAATGTACACTATTTGCCGTTTACTCAAGTCAGCAATTATATATGCAAATTACCGACCCAAAAGTTGTCGGCAGAGTCTTAAGCGACTCCACTGTAGACGGTAGGGTCTATATAAAACAGGATAAATTTTGATTCAATATGAAGTCTTCCAGGATGGAAGATATTATATACGACATCTGTAAATTGTTAACTTGACTTGACTTATCACGTGACGTTATTAGACGGAAGTGACGTCGACTTTATTGGCACCTGTCCACAGTCTATAGGGATACACTTTAATGTTTGATTCCATTGGATGCCTCTCGCACCGATAGCTTCGTTGTTGTGGTCAGAGTTTAATTTGTGTTCTTCTCAGTGGCTTACGGCGGCCTATGGCCGAGTGGTAGCGATCTTTCCTGAATGAGGTCCAATTTATTTTTTGTTCCAAATCAGCCGTCAGTGTTTCTTCCGATGGATAAGGACGCATCTATTACGATACAAGCGAGACATGGTTTGAGCACAAAAAATACATGGTACATCTGTACACTAGCATTATATCATAATGTTTTCATGCAATAGCGCCCTCTATTGATGTTATAAGAAACGCACTTACATATGCTATGATTCAGCGTACTAGTATATTCGAAGCTACTAAGCGATACAGTAATTATAAGTGGAGTATCAACTCCAATGCTAGCATGAATAACACATGAAAGATGCTTTATAGGTTATATATAATGTCGTCGTTGGTGGCGCTAGTAATAACTAAGGATTGTAACATTGACGATGCTCGCACCTTCATATATTTCATCACATTTGGAACTCCTGATATAATTTCCCTTATATGTACTGGGAGGCCATCAATCCTACCTAGCACTCTGGGCCCCCATACAATTACCACTCACCTCTTTGACTATACTTTTGATATTAGCTTCTGATGCGTACTTCAAATAAAACTTTTTTGATATAAGTATGCACTCGGCTCCGTTGCTGACTAGGCTCAGACTTGGCTGATCACCGAACGCGACATCTAATAATCCCTGAAGGAAATGATACAAAAACATAATGCTATCACTGGCGAGACTGTGTATTTAAAATTTCCTGTTTAGCGATTTGTTTCAATCTTGAAAATAATATTTATAAGTTATGGACATACAAATTATGTACACGACTAAAATCATATACGGATGTGGGTAATTTTTATCCGCAGTGAACGCTACGTCGCGTCTCGTCGCTGTAATACAGACGTTACATAGTAACAATACAAAACTAATATGGACCACAACTTACGAAAACAGAGCCTCGTTCCAGGATGTCGAGTTTGATAAAGACGTTATTTTTATGATTCTGACTAGCACCAATTGAATTCTGGGTAAAAACAACAACATAGTAATAGTCATAGTAGTAATATAAAATATATAAGTTATGTTGAAAAGACAAAAGTGAAGTAATAATATTCTTACGAAATATTTTCTGAAAAAAAGCAACACACGTAAACATCATTAACACTTACCGCATATAAATTTTTACTAAATACACTGTTACTACTCATTGAACTTTGTTGCGATGCTGTACTGAGTACCGAATCTGAAAAGACAAGATATTAGCATATATCATATCACTTTTACTAAATAAGTACTACCGGGTATCAGAGACGTCGTAATCCATTGTTAAGCACTCTCACTGGGACAATTCCGACCAGCCGTTAGAGGGGACATTACATAACTACAGATAGCCATGTATTGATAATTAGGAAATCGCACTAACAAACAAAAACATTGAATATACTATAATTACCAAAATGACTAAAAACTACTGAGAGTTATCTACCCTGTTGGCGGTGGTGGTGGTGGTGTTGTCCAGGGGTAAACTACTGACGTCACATAACACATTTGTTTTCAATTTGTAGATATTACCATCAATGCCCACATACCTGCTCGTGGTGGTCTCGGCTTTACTTTTATGGCCATTCGCCTTCTTCTAGCGTCAATAGCAGTGTTTATTGCAGGTGTACCTAGTGGTAAGCTGTGCGTTAAAAACGGGCCCTGATGAAATTATAAAATACAATTTTGAGTCGTCCAGTGTTAACAGGTGTCACTAATAGTCATAGAAATCCGATCAAAGTGACCGGCAAGTAATAGCGTACGATGATATACCTTGTTTTCTAGATACACGGCAAATATTACGAAATAAATTAGATTGAAATGGAATAAATGAACATGATGTGATTTTTTTATTTATTCGACATACTGGATCGAAGATAGATAGCAAATTCTATATGAACAGACAATGCCATCGAATTGCACTGTTTGGAATATCTGTCTAATTATAACATCATTTCTAATTATAACGCATTAATGCGCCGTTCTGATTGGTTGAGAGCGTGTTTTAAATTATACAAGTCGTGGTTAAATACATGGTGATACCACGATTTTCCTTATTAAGAAGTTAGCCCCAATCAGTAAGGTAAAATCCTTCTGTCAACTGAAATAGGCTGATTCAGAAATATTATTTTGCGTAATATACTAGTAACACACATTTTGAGGCTAATCGGGAAGCATGAAAATGTTTTTTTTTTTTTTTCAGAATTAGAATTTTTATTATCCTCAAAACCCAATCGGCAGAGCACTAACCAGCGTCTATATTTTTTTTTTGCTGTCACTCATGTGTATATGTTGAAACTAGTCCAAATATCGTGACTTACTGGTCTGGGGCGAATTACACCTTGAATACCCTATGTGAGAATAATTTAATTTGATTTAATATGTAATTGTTGTTTTGTTATTAGCTACGTGTTTGTTGTTGAGTATATCATTTATTTTCGACAAGTACAATAAGACTCTAATGAACAATATTCGAGGCTGTTTTAGCGTAAAGAACTTCAATGAAACTGTTCATTTTCATGTCCATAGTACCAACTCACTCACTCGAAAGTGTAGAGCATGTGACGTGGTTTGGTAGTGTAGACAAAAGGTTCATTCAAATTATTGTAACACGACAAGAATTACTGCGTTTCCTATTTATAATATATTAGTAAAGCTAATAAAATTGTTCACCAGCACAGCACGACTTTACCCCGTGCAATTCATCGACCTTGTTGTGTTGCTAGGGAAAACAATGGCTGTCAACTGAAAAAGAGACTGAATGACCTAAGGTCATAATCTGTGATTGATTAATTGTAAGCTTATTGATTGGCTTTGAAAAGATCGTGTGGCAATTGAATATATTAAAATTCAATGTATCATTCAGTGTATCAATGAAACACTTAATATTGAAATGTAACTTGTGATCACGTGTGATATGACGTAACAATGGTGAACATTTAACGAACACACCGTGAAATTCACCTTGCCACGTGCACGTCTCCGTGATTTGTCTTTTACCTGAGCAAATGTGACAGTGGACATCTTCCTTGCTCCGTACGATCCAATCTTTCTGTGAGCTTCGGGGTTCAGTCGATTGCCTTTCAAGGGCGGAAGCAAGCCTTCGTCCTCGTTTTCGGCTTCTTCCTCTATATTACTTTCAGCAACTTCATTATGAGCTACCTGTGGCATGAATGAGCTCATAGATGCGGTAGATGTGCGTCTCGTTAGCTGTCTGCCGGTGCGGTGAATCGCGGCGACGCTCTTTTTGTTGAGAACATCTTGGTGGTTGAATTTCCGTATTGCGGATTTCAGTTTTCGCCGTTTGCGGCTTGTGGGAAGGCTTGGATACTCTGAGAAGTAAAGAGTATACATTACATAAAATGGAATGAACAAACATGGCACTGGTTATAAGAACATATTTTCTAAAATAATATTACAGCATAAACTGGTAAATAGAATATTGCTGTGAATGTATTCCAAAAATTGTTAATAATCTTCATGTTTTCGAAAATGTTCAATTAATATTTAGGCTATCTTGCAATCACACACGACCCGGACATGACATCATAATGACCTTTCTGTGCAGTGATCAATGTACTTACTTGATAGGAGTTTCTTTCGCGCCTGCGTGATAGAGTTATCGGGTCTTTTCAACATTTTGAGTACTGAACAGCTGCCCTGCATGGAGTAGACATCAATACATATCATACACTGCAATCTTGTTATTTACAGCTCGATAAACCCACATATCATGACAAATAAGATTAGAGGTGTTTTATATCGCCATGTTATTTGTGTCAGGGTGAATATATTACTTGAGATAAAATATTACCTCTTATCAATTTTACAGTATGTTTTAGAAATTGCATGTAAGACGCTGTCTGAAAAGTTGCGCCCTCAGCGACGAAGCGTCTCTGTGACGTCAATGGTTTGATGTAAGGAGCACTATTAGCGTCGTTTTGATGTGTGGTCGTCTATAGGAAATTTACTGTATTCTAAATGACGAACGACTTCACAAACAGAGATATCTATTTTAACGACATCGCTTACTTCCAGCTATGTCACTATGAAATCACAGGAGCGCTTTGTCCATAGAGGGCGCGATTTATTGGAAAAATGAATTGCAGACAGTGTTTTAAAAACATCTAAATCACCAGAATCAGCCTTCCCCGGATCTTACATCATAGTAATTGATTGACATGATCTACAAACACATAATTGAGATTACATACCGACTTAATAATGTAAATCCATTCTGATTTATTACTATCGCTCACAGCTACAGCACCGCTTCTGAAAAAAAAAATCCACATAATACGCCCTTACGTAACAATGATGACTATTTTCCAATTATAACGCCACGAGAGGCGTGCATACAAAATGAAATAAAATATCATCATCCCCGGGTAATTTGTCCTGTCCACAGAAAAGCAACCCAATATGTAATACTTAAAGATGTATCGAAGCATTGCGCAAAATTAACCAAATATATACAAACAATCGTATATTTAGCCCATTACGTGGGTTTCTTGGTGGTTTAAGTCTTTCAAAGGGAATTTGCTTACTTGCCCGCTCTGGCATAAGATCACATGAATAGATCGTCATAAAGAGAAGGCAATTGTGATGTACATGTCTCTCTTAACATTGTAGCGTATCACATTCCAAATCTTTTGACAAAATGTGCAAGTTATGTAGCATTTTAGTAGCAATGATAGTCATTTAGTATTTTGGCACTAGTAAATATTTTATTTTATTTGTTCCTTGGGTAGTATTGGCCAATGTCAGCAAACAGTCTCGTTTCTTAGACGTTTCTTAGTTACAATTAATCATAATATGTCGATAGCCTGAGCACATTCAGTAGCTGAAATATCAATCCGTCAAGGGTGAGTCACGTGACAATGATGTACTGCGTGTAATTAATCACTTGCATACTTGTGTACTAAACGGTCGTTTAACAGTGCGTGTAAGACCATGGATGATTGTGACGTGGTCACTTACTTGTAAAATTCGAACATGCATTTCGTTGAATTGTATTGCATTATATGCAAAGGCCATCCTTGGAAAATAAACAAATTTCTGTAGGAGAAAAAGAAACAACAATAAAAAATAATATGCATTTCAAGTATCAAAGGTGTGCGTTACATTCATCGACATTATATAATACCTACTCGTATGCAATCCGACTGGTGCGTGATCATACATTACCTCCCGTAACACCGGAAGTTATTAATATTCTTAATCGATATTATTATTTTTACAGTACTTACTTCAGAAATGTATTGTTGGAGGAATCCGTGAAATTCTTCATTCCACCTGCCATGAATATGTCAATAAAATCCTAAAATAAATCAAAATAGTGATATTAAATCCCTAAATACGGATATAACGCTATATTATATGAGCAATATACTCATCAATCATAATTTTATCATAAATACTCATTAAATTATGCCGTTATGGCGATGGAAGAAGCAATTAGCATGTTATATGGAGATTCATAATGCGCTGAAGATGGAAGTGGCGCATGGGGTACGAAATACAACACTTCAACTTACTAGTACGTGCCTCGGAACTGCGACAGAATACTTAGAGTGCGAGTTCATTGCGTTTCAGTAAGACGGTACAATCCTTTCAACTGACTAATACGGTGTTCGCGATAGAGCAAAGACATGTATCAACATTTTTTCTTTCAATTTGCGTACCACTTGTTTGTAGAAAAACAAAATTGCAAATGTATGCTTACTGTCCAGTACCGGAAATTAAGGTCGCTTTATTCATATTTTGGCATATGCGTATTTCTGGACCAATAACGGAGGAGAAAGTTATGCGTAGTAGGGCGTTAAAGTAGTCTGGTCAGAGAGAAAATTTCACTTTACCGTCTCTTGTGTGTTGTGGAGAAGTATTGATGAATTGCCAGACTATTTTTAGCAGGCAGGCTATTCAAAAATAAAAAAAAAATTATCGATAGTTTTTACGAGATTGATTGACGAGTCGACGAGACACGTCACATCAAACAAATTAGTATTCATTTCACGTGTGTTATTGCTAGCGCTTATATGCGCCGGTCTCAAGTGAAAACATTAATTATGCCGTACATAACATCATTGTTGTTATCAATTTCATGGAGATGTTCCATCAAAAAATGTTTCTTGGTAATAAAGGAATCGTGATCATCGCGTAAACTCGGGTATTAAGTGAATAACATATGATCAACTTTGCATTCAAAAGAATGCAAATATATGACACGAGTAAATAATTACACATACAGCAATGTAAACGAAATATACATTGAAGACACTAAAGTAATGTATTAGTCTATTCATTCTATCTTAAATAGTATCATATATTGAATATTGACATTTTTATCGGCCGAATTATCGATTCAATTATATGGGCTCAATATACTCAGTATGTGTGCACCACAAAATGAAAACAGTTAATCAGGTTGCAAAAAAAAAACGAGCTATAAATATGATGTACCCTTTTAATACTTTAATTTTAGTAGCGTAACGTCAATTAAGATATTGGCCGAATTTAGCAATTATATGTTAAGGTACATTTCTTTCAGAAAAATGTTTGACTTGTAAAACGCGAATATGGTATACACGCAACTATAATAATAAGAAATAATATATGGCGATATTTCTTTTTAGAAACCTTACAACAATTCTGCAACAACGTTTGCATTCCCAATATAACGATATATTAATGGGTAGCTCAAGTTCACGGTCCAGTGTTCTAGTTTCTGTATGTGTTCGTCAACTGTGAAAACTAGGTGGAACGGATACACGCATAATTAAAGTGACACAGTCGACTGTCGCATTTTTAATTTATTTCTCGAAATCTATTTGAGAGTCGACCCCGGTAAACACAACGACGCGGCGCGACAACTACGATACTCCCCCTTCCCCCAAAAAAACACATACTCAACCACCGACCATGCACCACTACCACGCACACGTTTATACAGGTATACCAGAAATAGTGATGCCGTTGACGTACAAATCGTAATTCGTGTGTGAATGTCATTTAATAAAACTCAATTAAATTGCAACTCTGTGTGATTCACTTGCGACGTTAACAATGAAATGACATCATTTTTTTCATGTAAACACAACGCATAATAAGTGACTGTCATGATACCCAAATGAAGATGGAATAAAACAAGAAGTAACTTACATCTTTTGTGATTAGCAGTAACTCCACTGTTTCTCGTGTGATAACCGTAATGTTGTGCCTGCATTGATTGATTATTGCGTAATCCTTAACAAGAAATGAGAAGAATAGTTTACACATGTCAGCGTATTGCACGCACCGCGGTAGAAATTGGGGATCGTTTATTTTGATAACGCCCCACACTTCGCTTGTTTACATCCTGCAAAAACCACGATGACTACTTCCGGATTTCTGTGATAATTTGTCCTACAGTATAGACTATCCTGTCGACCTTTCTCTTCCTTCGGTTATAGCTGTACCACCACGGCCATATCGGACATCATACTCAGTGAAAAGAATCCAGCGTACTTACCCCGAAACTTTCGCCTTCTTTCATAATACGGACAGCCCTCCCCACTTGTTCTGGGTCGCCCTCAACCAAGATAGCTATAATAATACAAACATTACGATTACTGTCACATTTCTCGACCAATCGCGTTATTTAAATTCACAACGTTTGTCTGTTGTTTCTCAATTTTGATCGATATGAAACACGGTTGTTCTAATTTCTGGTTCGTGTATCTTTAGTTCAGTATTCGTTAGTTTTACTGCGCTGTAATACCAGTTCTCATAGAAAAAAAGGCGCCTGTATTTTATATCATTGCAAAAAAATGTGTAAAACATATAATTGCAAGTACGAGGTACTCACCCGAACCAGATAGTAAGAAATAAAAGGCGTGTGGACGTTGCCCATAGCGAATGACCACGCGTTCAGAACCATACGTCACATAACTTCCGTATTTCGATATTTGTTGTTGCATAGCAACGGGGTATTCGGCCACAGATTTAGTGTTGTGTAACTCGGCTTGGACCTGGAAATAAAAAGGAAAGATAGTTCCAGTCGTGCTGGAATAGAAAATTACATTGTGAACTTTGAAACGACACAAGAACAATTATAGTCGCTTACCCTTCGAAGTAATTCGGGTTTTCTCGCTGAGGGGTGTAACCCAAGGACGTGTTCTGTGGCTGGTGAAACTCGAACCTGTAGACGTAGTGACATGATAAAACTGATAAATTATATAAATATACTGCCGGCTACATTCTGTTTTTTTCCTATTCACTATAGTTAAAGTTTAATATTAAATGATGTACGCAGGCTGGATTGCCCAATATATCGATTACTTTATTAAGCATCTACAAATATTCTATGACGTAGCGTATTATCAAATACACTTCCAAAGTGTTAATTTTACATGAAAAGTAGATTCTCAAGATATTAACACAATGAAATGGATCCTATCATACAACATACTAATTGCGGTTCTATGTACTTGTGGCTTTCATTCCATCATTGATATATCTTTTATGATGTGCCTGTACTTTCATTGTATTTTCCATGTTCCAAATTTCATCGGATATATTTTATTGTGCTACGGCTCGCAGCTAACCATAAACTTCTACGAGTCTAGTTAACACGCATACGACCTCATTGAAGGCTACTGCACCCATTATACTGCAGAGAGTGGGTCACTTAGGTCCACGTTTTATCCCACAATAACCTACAGATCGGACCTCAAAGCACAGTGAGTGGATGATTTCAACAATTTTCTATTTAGCTACGGAGAATGTAAGCCGGTGGACCGTAAATGTTTTGAGTGAGTTTCTTTTTTTAACTTGACACTTGACTGGCGTTGAATGATTTTCGGATTACATTGTGCCGAAGAAAACAATCTAAGATATTGTTGTTGTGGATATTTGCAATTTTCTCGTGTATTTAACTTGCACTGAGTCGCCAGAGGGAGGGGTATAAGCCGTAGTCATGGGAAGATACACGATGCGCGAATGATAAACTGTGTCTCTAATCTATGAACTTTGTCCCCATCCCGCCTATTGTGTGCTCTCGAATTGTTCTTACAGTCCCTCAACAACTACATCGCGTACTCTGTGTAATATAACAGCGAACGATTGCTATCGTAGTTTTTATTTATTTTGTTTATTTACTAATATCATGAGTTGTTCCTTCCTATGTCATATCGGCAGTGATAAATCGTAACATAGATAATGAACTTGTACTTGTACTTGTTTAAAACCTTTGACACGCAAGTGGCATGCGAACGGCCAATGTCAGAATTTTTTGTCTGCGCCGAACAGTCCAGTATATTCGGTTATTATTGAGTTTTCAGTATCAGGGTGTCACCAGGTCACCGAATCACACACGGCATTCTTTGTTCGACGACCGAAGATGAACTACATTACAAAATCAATGTTCAATGCTAGTCTGAGACGCACAGAGTTTATAGCTCGATATGCCTTTTTGGATTAATGTGACGACTATTTTACCCATGTTACCAACGCCGCGACCGAACGAACTTCGCAAATCGAACATCACGTACTTTTTAGATTCAAAGTCGTGTTTAGCTACCTACCGAAGCAGAATTCAAAATAATATTCCTATAGTGAATTTGTCGGGTTTCGATCAGTATAATTCGCGAACGCCGTATTTTTTTATATTTTTGATTAAGTTACTGAAAATTTACAGGTCTTTCAACTAAGTTTTGCCGACAATACAATTTTAGAGCCGCAATTAATGTGATTGGTATGCACAATGGTTATTTGGCAATAAAACATATCCCGAGGTCATGCGCCCCCGATATCACACGTCTGTGTTGTGAATTGTCCATTCAAAACATCCGTCCAATGCGGTTTTCTGTCAATTTCCAAGTAAAAAAAATGTGAACGTTGTTGGCAACAGAATTTCACTAAGAATGCACCATAACAGTCATAGGAGGCTGGAAATTAGAAAATGTCGCACTCGTTAAACAGTTTATAAATTGTATTACGTGGGTACACGACTTTCTTGACAATGAGCTATGCCATGATGTTTAAACAATTTTGATAGATACAGGACAGACAGACAATCGTATGATACATGGCCACTCAATCGTGACAAGTTACTTTTTCTGCCAGTTTACATGTTTTAAATTGCTTGTGGCAGTTTTAAGCGAGCGTGTCAGGATGCGTTTACATTCCCTAAATCATGTCATTCACTCTGTACTTAGCGTAGGTCTTCATATCTCCATATCAATATTAACCAGTGTACATTGCGTGATACATGTAATGGTGTGTGGATTATATGAATACCGTGACCGCTACAAAGTAGCAGAACTTGGAGTGTATATTGAAGTCTCATTGAAACACACGAGGAGAGGGGTCATCGTCGTAAAATTACGACCCATTTGCGGCGCATGATGGTAACTATGAGAAAGCCGTTGTAAAATACGCCAACATTGAAGTATTCGACAGCTTGTAAATGCAACGCTCCCCACTTTCATTACAAGGAACCAATCAATCTGCTCTTAGAAGCAGACGTATCGTGCCCTCGTTCAAAAACAAAACCTGATTGGTGATTTACTTCCATGACGTTTACTCGTAACTATCACTAGGTCGGTGTATTTTGCCAGAGTGTGTTGGAGTGTAGCAGAGACACAAACGGGTGAAAAATGCGTGTCCTGACACGGGTTGGATGGGTACTACTTCGAAGTTAGTAGTAGTAGTACGCATTGGTTGCTTCACGGGCAATCTCATTCTACAAACCACATCCTACAAATATCATTCGACAGTACCTTGAGCTAGGTTCACAATAACGTGACATTACATCTCTTGCAATGCATCTCTTGTACATCAGTCCCTGGGTAATGTTGTTACCAATTGGTGCTGTAGGGATCAGTTTACCGGGTTCGGTGCCTTACTTGTGAACTAGAAGGGCGCTTAACAATGTTTCTAGCACAATTGAATTTTCACCCCAGCTATTTGTTACTTTCATACACGCATGACTGGTCTGCAATTTTTGGTAACCAACGAGGGAGCAATAGGACCACCGGTTAACATATTGTATTTGTACTGATCAGTTTTGCGTGATATGTGTTTCTGTTTAGTCGCATATATCGTAATTCAAACAAGAAGTTAGTACTTATTATTTTGTTACGCACGCAAAAGATCAGAGGTGTGTATATACGACAATATACACAAATAACGTACACTACACTTTTCCTGACACGTCTGGCTCGATTTTAATTTCTGGCACGATTACTAAGTTTCTCTGTTGAAGATGACAAACTTGCATAAGCAACTCCAGAAATATACTTTCTACTACTATGTATTTAAATGAGTGCGTCTACAATTATACCTATTGCGTTTGACCTATTGCAGTAAGGCGACAATATACAGAGCATTAGGATGTAAGTTTCACACGTAGCTTTATTTGCATACATATTCTGTGTCCATTTCAAGGATTATGACTATTTATTCTTACCTTATGGTCGAATTGAAGTAGATTGGTGTTCTTCAAGGCGGAAAAGAAATCTAACATGTCCCGGTCACTTTTCCTGTAAAACAGGGTATCAATGAAATTGCATGGGATTGTATATGGGTCAACGAGTACCCCACACTACTAAAAGAAGGTTCACCCCGGTATTAGATGTGTCGATACGAATTAATCGCCCTTCTCGAATAGTTAACGTGAACTAACCCCCACACAAACAACCAATAATCTCTCGTGTATTGTCACACCCATAATTTGGTTATCAGTGCGTGTTCAAGGGCCGTCAACTTATAGTGATGAGTGAATAATCAAGTTACAATTACAGGGCAAAGGTCATTTTTTTTATTTTGTTTTGAGATTTTACTTCGTGTTTACTGTGTTAACAACTTCTTGAATGCAGACTACCTACTAAAAATCGTGTAAAATCCTAGTGAAGTGCTAAGATTTTCGCCGCCCATGCTAGGTGGGTATCATGATATACATACACATCGACTTACCGTAGAGCATATTTCTTGACAAGACGGTAAGATATAATCATACACAGCGCAGCCAAGCGGAACTTATTGAGAATCTGATTTAGAAAAGTAATAAAAACAAAATAAGCACAATTTATTGAAATGTCGGCGAATTTACTTTATATCATTATAAAACCAGGCTCTGTTTTAAAGTGAGAACAACGTATTTTCTTTAACAAACTGAAAGTATGTCGTGACTAGTAATGAATATTGGCGCTTAAGGTGAAAAGTGTGCACGGCGACTTATTACCGAATTTCATTATTTTAACATTATCATGTCAGTGATGGGTGGTGTCCGCGATCGCGCTTTAAAGGAATACATCTCCAACATATGCACAATTCGAAAGAATTAGACATTTTTTGTGATTACATTTTCTTTGTAGTTATATTTATCGAAACTCGATATAAGATGATTTGAGAGATTTATTTCTATTTATTTCTATTAAATTTAAAAGCAAACTCTCATTAAATGTGTTATTTTTCGCAGTAATCGAAGTCTGACTTCAACGAAAGGGAGTAATTATATTCCTATATTAAAAAAAAAAAAACAAATATCGAGGTGGATCGAAAATTGAATAGCACAGAGAAGTTCGTTCAAGTAATTGAATCTCTAATTTTCATCTTAACGGCGAGTTTTGTAATTTGAGCTTAAAATATATACGATGAACCAAGGTATGCCACCATTACAATTACAACAATTGTCACAATCGTATTTATGATATTAACAGTATAATGATGATATTTATTTAAAAACGACTTCATAATAATGAATAATAATCCGAGCGTGGAGAGTTGGGAATAATTATCATTAATCAATCAATCAACAAACCAAACAAACAAACATATAGAACACAAAACAAAGCACAAACAATTCAAACATTTTCATTATTATGCTATATAACTTAGAGAGTTTTAAGGTATATAGTTATAGTTATACGAAAATAGCACAGCTTGGTGAATGTTTTAAATGTAATAGTGGCACATGGACGAATGTATACGTATTTCAATTAACTAGACGTCGCCGTCAGTATCACGTGGTATGTCTGCTTGAGTACGTCATCAATTATGCCATTTTGTCCACCCTCGTTCGTATCTAGCTTAGTTATAACTGCTGTTATAGTTATACATTCCTGTTCACGTGAGTTGACGGGCGAATGTTAATGTTACGTTTGAGATATCGGGAAACGCTGGGAAATCTATTGTCCCGTGTTACATATGCCTGTGTTCATTATGACTCGAATGAACTGTTGATGACGCATTCTCTGTTATTCACCCAATTTGGAATGACATAATTTGAACTATATTTTTTTAATTAAACTTGTGATCGGAAAACCATGTGACATAATAATCATTTCATTATAGCTGAACGTTTATACATGTAGTATATTTGTTGTGTTATTGTGAAATTTCAGTTCTCTGGACTACTGGACAACGACGTATTGCATGTGGCCATCTCCGTCAAATAATGGGCCACATACAATCAATGTCAGAAACGTTTTAGCATTTCACGGAAAATGAGTGGCACAGCCAAGGACTCATGTCTGCGTTTGGTCCTGAGTATAAAGAACGGTGAGTTTATTTAAACAACCACCTGTTGAAGCGGTCTGAATAGATCTCAGTAACAACAAAAACAGTTCCGTAAATGTGTTCGTATTTATGTTATGGAGCAGTAAAAAAATATAAAGCTTACAAAGCGACATCATGGCATATTAAATGGCAATTTTAATTCGCACAAGCGGAAACCACAAAGTTAAATGAATGATATTGTTAAGTTATACACCAAGCACGTACTACACGTTATCAGCAGGTTTATTGAAAATATATTGTTATTTAATAAACTAATCCGGAAGGGGTTAGTTAATCTGTTTCTATGGAAACTCTGTGTATATAGCTTGTTGATGTGATAACAGAGTTAACGACACGTTTATTATTATCTAAACTACATACTAACACACTGCGACAGACTGCGATCGATAAATGATGAGATATCTAAAGGTGGTAATGCCAATAGCCGCCGCAATTCTCGTTATTTTTAAGCGCTCTATCTACGGTATTAACGATTATCGGTAATGATACGTTTTAAATGTCGACCCCTCACTTTAAATATCAAATGGTTTATTCATATTCGTACATTACGTTGATGTCTTTCGTGGATGAGTACGTCGGTTTTATTTGACTGAGTTTAAATGGTGTTGTTCCACCCAAAAGATGTAGCCAATATAAATAGATAGATAAGGTGAACTTGCCTTAGAAGATAAACGTTTCGCGTCAGTGTCGGTTTCTTTATCGTTCGATAGCATGCAGTCAGTGGTCTGTCGATAAGGCGTCAATGTCGGCAACAATACATGCGTACCGTTGCTTCTTACGTGGTCTCCCACAGTAGGCATAAGGTATCTCGAGTGAGCCATCATGGGATTTTTAACGATTGTCTCGTTGTTATTCATCCTATTCAACGTCTCCTGGATCCGTTGCCGCCGCTTCTCTTCCAACATTTGTGGATCCATGGTTTTCTTGTTGAACACTACGTCTCTCAGTCGCCTACGTCTCCGTGCCAGCCTGTCCAGGGACCGTAGCTGTATTTGCTTATCGGCGACCTCTGTCATGATTTTGCGTCTATGATAAAGTTCTATTCACTTCATAAATTTTCCAACCTCCACTTCAAAGTCTTTATTTTCGGGCGATTTTTTCAGGTCCGTCAAGTGCCCTATAATTCGTGCAGATTAATGACAGCATACCATCGTGTTGCTGGCTTCACCATGCCGTCTGCGTGGGCTTGATGATAGAATCTCATCACTTAGACGTCAGCTTGATGACTGGCTGTTGTACGCGTTCCACACACGTTAAACCTCTTATCCCGTATATGCACGGCTCGTCGATTGTTACTGCTTTGGTTACTTTCACGTGCAAACAATACAGGTGCGTACGTACAACAAAGGTACATGACAACGAGGCAGAATAAAGTGAGGGCCAATAAATAGGTTAAATTGATGATCCAGAGAAAGCATTGTTGAATGTTTGCCAAAAGTATCCAAGCTGTCTTAATTACACAAACGTTCAACACGAGTCCGTCAAGCAATCGATAGGCATTGATTTTTCGCCATTGTCGTTTTGTTCGTGCACGAAACTTTATTTGATCGCGTCATGTTACAGTAACGTGTTGTGTTCGATAATGGAAATCACCCAATCTTGTGAGTACACAGCCCGATCACAATACGACACACAACGTACCATCGAGTAGGCCAGGCGCGTTCGCAGGTAGATTATGTTACAGTCTCTCGCCGCGGACTCCCCTCGACGCGTTTGTGTCCCTGCCAGTGTGTATTTAAAAAAAATAACGTTGAGGGCAGTATACCAAACAAGAACGGTATCTATGTAAGTACGCGAAGGCAGAGACTGGAACTCGAGTCTAGTTCGTAGGCTGCCCGAACCGAATACAGTATGTTCAGCACCGGTGTCGATACCACGACACAGACCACCGGCATCGTCATCGAGCTTGTATTATTTCTGTTGTTTGAAGTTCAAACAAAGCAATAAACGATTTACGTCATAAGTCGGATTATATTGCTTAAATCGCAGTCTCTTTGTCATTGAGAAACTGATACCTGTTTTAAATATTTTAAGCTGATTTTAATTTAAATCGAATAAAACCAACAACAACCAATGACATCAGTATATGACATGGATAAACAAACGCTCAATGTGGTTTTCCCTCAACTTCAGATAAAAACGACGAGTTAGGCGCGGGATGGGATGATGGTTTCCGTTAGTTTCGAAATTCTGCAATTCAACCAACTTTCACGATTATAATTGATTGTGGGAAATCGGATTTAGCAGCTAACCTGTCACTTACCTACCTTAAAGCACTGCTGATACTAATGTTCTTATAGAATGAATAAATCAGATAGGTTTACCGCTCAAAATCCACCTTTTAGTATTTCGTCAAATCTTTATAGAAGGTATTTGTTCAGTCCAGGAATAAGTCATAGTTTTAGTTGAAGTTAAAATACTCCCGCTATTAAATTCGTAAACACATTAACTATCAACTAATATCTTGAAAGTACGGAAAACTAACGGGGGGGGGGGGGGCTGGCAGTTTTTGTTGAACAAAAACATCATATTATGATAATTTATAATAATAATAGTCTTTATTGAAGTCATATCCTAAAAATGGACATAAATCTAAGTACAATAAAGCATGGTTGTTATTCCATGTTAGAAATATTCAGAAAAAAAGAAGATATACTAGTAGAAAAAACTGAACTAAACAAAACTGAAAAAAAAAACTTGCCCGAAAGTGGGATTACTTATTTAGATATATGTGAGGCAGCAGTTTTTTTAATTTCCTTTCTCCTAGGTTGAAACATTCGTATATGTATTTTGCTAGACATTTCAGCATGACAGTATTCGTTTAGACTAGTATGTTGATAAAGCTTGTATCAGTGTTGCCCTCAGAAAACTGTCTAATTGTGTTGAGAAGGATCTGTTTTTTCTCGTTTGTATAACTGACATTTTAACAAAAAGTGATCTTCATCTTCAATATCATTAGTATCGCATACAGGACAGCTTCTTTCAGTAATGTTAATTTTATGGTATCTGCCCATTTCAAACAATAGAGTTAGGATACTGTGTTTGTTTTTCAGTGGAAGGTCAGTTACATCATATATAAGTTTGTCTAAGAATAATAACTTTAATGACGCTCAGTGTGGGAGGTCAGAGCAGGATATATGCTTGTAATATTTTGATACCATTAGAGGCCGATAGCCAGAAAACTTATGTGGCTTTCATACTCGCCATTCATCAAGAAAAGGTGAGTGTCGACTAATTTGAATCGATGGTCGCTGGCTCAAGACATTGACCTGGAATCACTCGTATTTGAAAAATATACCAGTGCTCAATAATTTCATCAATCATGACGTCATAGCTACACACACCTGGCCATATCATAGCTAGTTCCGAGGCATACATTCCATCAACTCGGAATCTTCCATATGTATATCGCGGGAACCCCATTCTGTCCAGATGGTTCCTGCTGACGACCGGCTACCGGTGAAGTTGTTGTCATAACAACGGATACATGCATCATGGAGACATGTAGTTGTTTTGCTAGCAACCGCCCCAGATTTCTCAGCTAAGAAAAAAAAAAAACCATATAGATTGGAGACATGTTTCAAGCCCGCACCTGTCACCTATGTGACCCACGGGTAGGGAATATACCGACTAGCGTTTGATTTACAGTTATCACGTCTCCATTGACGAATTCATTCTTGAGCGTGTAGTACATAGTATACTGTCCCAACGATACAAGTTTTAACTTAAAGCGCGGCACCGAAATCCCAGGGATTGCACTAGTGTGTCATCAGAAATGTAATTTGCATGGCATGCCCAGCTGTTTACTTGGTATACAGCTGTTATCATTTCAATCGAAGGTATTAATTCCGTAAGGTAACATCATGCATTACGCTATTATCCGATTTGAGAGGATTTATTGAATCGCGTTGTTCAATGCTCATGGGGCCAACGCAATCTTTTGAAAACAGTTTTTTTTACTTGCATCATAGAGCTCCTTATTTAGTTCCCTGCTTGCGCGAAACAGCGCATCGTCATAAATAATTGCGGTTTATTTAAATGACCAACACAATATGGTTATCGCACAGTACAACGTTTGCCATGATAATGTGTCTTGTCGGCTCGGCAATAATGACGTTATGCAACGTGACGAAAAAAGAGCAAAAAACAAAACAAAAACTTCGTGATACAGGTGTGTGTGTGGCGTGGGCATACCCAGTTGCCCGATGCCCAACATAAACGAATGTATGCGCGACTCATCGGTTACAAAAAAAACTTGAACACGGACACACATACATTTTTTTTACGAAATTATATAAATTTTACTCAGAACAACAACAAAAGGCATTACCCCTCAACTTCAGATAAAAACGATAAGAGTGGATTGGGATGATGGTTTCCGTTAGTTTCTACATTCTGCAATTCAACTAACTTTCATGAATCGGAAATCGGATTTAGCAGCTGACCTACCTTAAAGCACTGCTGATACTAATGTTCTTATCAAATGAATAAATCAGATAGGTTTACCGCTCAAAATCCGCCTTTTGTATTTCGTCAAATCTTTATAGAAAGTTTCTGTTCAGTCTATGAATAAGTCATAGCTGTATACCCCCGCTATTTTAACACATTTACTGTCAGATAATATCTTGAAAATGCTAATAAAAATAGAAATTACCACTATCCCCCTGTGTTAAGGATTCCCCATTTTAAAACTGACGGGTAGGCTGGCGGTTTTCAGTCTGAAACAAAAATATCGAAAACGGGAAGCAAATGTTACATAAAGGAGGTATGGTATGAACTGTAGGTTCAGAGTTTAAATCATATACTTGTGTGTGCTACAGATTCTGCGAGATGGTCAAAATCACTGTTCATTTGTGGTACAAATTTGGGAGTACCTTCAAGTTGGGTGAATCTGCAAGACTCATTACCATTCATCAAACAAAGCTGAGTGTCGACTAATTTGAAACGATGGTGGTTGGTTCATGACATTGACATTGACCAGATATCACGATTCAATTATGCTTGGGATCGGAGATCTGAGTTAATAACTCAAATATATACATATAATGTCTTGAAAGAGGCGCTTTTGTTCCAACTTTCCAACTAAAGCACTATTTAGTATTTGACAAAAATATTTATTTTGTGGTTATACCAAAACTCGTTCATTTAGATGACAAATCCCCCTTATAACACTTCAATGCAATTAAACTGTCGAAGAAGCATAACACACCATGACAAATTATTGCTCGTACTTGAAACATATACTCAATTTCAATAATTTAATCAATCATGACGTCATAACTGCTCACACCTGGCCCTATCATCGTTAGTTCTGAGGCATAAATTCCACCAACTCGGAATCTTTCAGTGTTGTATCACGGGTACCCCATTCTGGCCAGATGTAACAAGAGTTTCTGGTGTTGATATCGTTGCCATAGTAACGGATACAATCATCATACAGACAAATAGGTGTTTGCTAGCAATCGATCCAGATTTCAGAGCTAGCAAAAACATAACATAAAGATTTGAAAAAAAGTTTCCAGCCCATACCTGTCACCCATGCGACTCACGAGGAGGGAATATACAGACTAGCGTTTAATTTACAGGTATCACGCCACCATTAAAGAATGTAATCTAGCGAACGCGTATACATTGTGCCAAACGGTAAAACTTGTAACGTCTCTTCTCTTTCGTCAAATCTTTATGAAAGTTTTCTGTTCGATCTATGAACAAGTCATGGCTTGCGTTGAGAATTCACTATTTGAAAACTGACGGGTCGGCTGTCGTTTTTGTGAAACAAACCTATCGAGAGCGAGGAACAAATATTTTACAGTGGAATTATGGTATGAACTTTAGGTTCAGAGTTCGAATCCTATCCGTTGTTTGCTAGAGATTCTATGAAAAGGTCAAAATCACTGTTCGAAATGTATTCACTTGTGGGTGCGAATTTGGGAGTACCTTCAAGTTGTCACTCGAATAGCACGCGACTTGCCACAATGCCAGTGAAGAAATCAGTGACACTCAGTTTCCCAAACTGTCACTTTCAACAAGAACTCCATTTTCAAACAGATAATGACACCATTTGGAACTGATCGAAAAGCCAGTAAAACAAATGTGGCCATAATATTCGCCAGTCAAAGCTGAGTGTCGACTACTAAAGATGATGGCCGGTTAAGTTCGTGACATCCAAAGCACTATTTAATATTTGACAAAAAATAATAATTTTTTACCTTCCAATACAATTAAACTGTCTAAAAAGCACCAGCCGCTCACATATTACCCACTCCTATTTGAAACATATACTAGTATTAAGTAACTTCAATGATGACGTCATAGCTGCTCACACCTGGCTCTATCACAGTTAGCTCCAAGGCATGCATTCCATAAACTCGGAAACTTCTATATTTGTATCACGGGTACCGTATTCTGGCCAAACGTAACAATGGTTTCTGCTCACGACCGGCTACCGGTGTTGATGTTGTTGCCATAGTAACGGATACATGCATCATGGAAACAAATAGTTGTTTTGCTAGCAACCGACCTAGATTTCACAGCTAAGAAAAGAATACCATATAGATTGGAGACATGTTTCAAGCCCGCACCTGTCACCCATGTGACCCACAAGTAGGGAATATACCGACTAGCGTTTGATTTACAGGTTTCACACCACTATTAAAAAATGTATTACAGAGCGAGTTGTGCATATATACTGCCCCCAACGGTACGAGTTGTAACATAAGCTCGAGTGCCCGTGATATCGCAAGAGCGCAGCAACAAGTATTAAAAGATAAGTACACCGCTAGAAAAAAAAAAAAACGCCAAAAATGTAGACATACACTTGTACTATGTCCAAGAATTCCAGGCGCCATATTGAATAACTAGATCGATATTCAAAATTATCAACTTCTACATTAGATCAGGCGCAAAGCCAAGGTGTGTTACAATAGCAATGGCCATATATTAACACATCACAAAAAAATCAAGGAATATAGAACACATGGGCCAAGAAAATTATCATATTTCAAACTATCGTTGCTTTCAACATTTCAACTTCGGTTATTTTGGGCAAATACAAAACAAAAAAAACGAAAACAAATAAAAAGTACATATTATTCCTACCCCCCAAATTGTATTTAAACATACAGGAACACAATTCCAATTACAGGTACGAAACCTACACAGCAGGGTCCATGCTTTCCCAATTACCTCAATATCGCCGCTGTTAATTCGGCTGAAATGCTATTCAATGTTTGGTGTGAATAACATAAATTTTAACGCTGAAGTTCTTTTAATTTCGGGTCTATGGCTCTATGTGTATAAATATGCCGGATTTACCCAACCGATGACTTTGCATCTACGGAGAGTGGGATAATAATTGTATTGTGTTATCTTTCCACAAATTGCAAGTCGCGCCGCCTAGTGTCGAAAAATTGGTAATCCTTTACTGAGGCAGCAAATACAACGTCGCCTATCAATCACGATGACAAAGCCGTGCAATTGGTGGAAAGTGACGTTATGATGCGGAGCAGTGTGATTGGCATGGCAAAATGTTAAATGCTTGTTCCAATGCCGAGATTAGAAGCGGAGTACGGTTTAGCCAGTCCAGAGCAGAGCCTGATCCACATTTATAGACGGGATAGAAAACTAAATCTCATCTCTCCATGTCACAGTCATTTTCAGCGTAATTTTCCGCATAATTTGTTTTAACAATAGGACTAGCTAATAACCACCAAGATTAATGTAATTAATGTTTATTCTTGGTTTCTTGCAAAGAGCGAGCGACTTCAAAGCCATGTACAGTTAGTGGTTTTGAATGTTTGGTTATTTTCTCAGACATGTGAAGTTAGTACAATGTGAGCTCACTCCGTGCAAAAGTTCTACAAATCAACTATATTATGGTGTATCAAGTATAAAACAGTTCAGTTATGCACTACGAAAGAAACGTAGAGAGTGGAGACTTTGACTTGCTTGACAGGATAACAATTATACTAGAGAGCTATTACACGTGACCTAATCACAGATAGACACCTTTATTCTTAGCCGACTGAGTTGGCTTCCAATAGCCTGGCCCAGCTAAGGTGATTTTTAAACAAAAAATGGAAAAAATAGTTTTGCGAAAGGTGGGGTGAACGCGAAACCACCACAGACTGCAGCTAATCTATTGCTATTATTTATTCATGATATGCAGTGACATCACTGAACGGATACAGAAAAGGCGTGCGCGCTGCATAATGAGGTAAACATCGTGGGTAGCGTTAAAGGTCAGTTTTCTGTGAGCTAGAATGGTTTCCGGACTGTTGAAGTTACCTTGCTGAACGTCGGCTGGTATAATGTTCGTTTTTGCATGAAAATAACACGCCTTTAGTCCAAGTTTCTGCAGCTTTGATACTTGCTCTTGCATCAACGCAACCAAAGGAGAGCTCACAAGTGTGGTTTCCAAGTTATCTGATTCGACAATGCCAAACTATTTTTCATCTAAACAGAACGAAGCAACTTCAAATGCAATCGATTCGCCGCTTCCGGTC